TGATGATGAGGAGGAGGAGGAGCAGGAGGAGGAGGAGGAGGAGGAGGAGGAGGAGACGAATGAGGAGGCGAAGGATGTGTAGGACAAACCGCCCTCGGGCTCGAGACCAATGGCTCTCAGGGTGGACTTGGCGAGGGGGTTTGTCGTTGTTCTGCCCTGGTCGGGCTGCGGCCGAAGCCCTCGGCGCCCGTGCTGTGGAGCGCAGGAGCCGTGCGGCTCGAGGCGAATATGGGGGGGGAGAGGGAGCAGCGGGATGGGGAGAGGGGGATGAGGCAGGGGATGGGGCGGGCAGAGAGGGAGAGGGAGAGGGAGAAGGAGAGGGAGAGAGGGAGGGGAGCAGGATGGGAAGAGGAGGGTTGAGGCCTCCCGAGGAGTTACGTCTGCCTTCGTGTACCGTCCCACGCCTTTTCCCGTGCCATGACACGATTTCGTCCACACACGGGCACGTTCCAAACCGCCACGGAACGGAAATGTGGGATGAGGGAGGAGGGGGGCGGGATTTTGCCATCAACGGCACAATGCAGCCCACGTGCTCCTCAAGCAGGTGGGCGAACCCTGCAAGGGGAAAAAGAAAGAGGCTTAGCCCGAAGAGTCCTCTTCCAAGGCGTGTGCACGGACAAGGGGGACCTTCGTCCTCCTCGCGGCGAAGGGCAACAGCAGGAGGGGGCAGGGCTGGGGAGGGGAGAAGGGGGAACGGGGACGCGGTTTTGGTGGTGGTGGTGAGGGGTGGTCTTCCCGCCCACGGGAGCCCGTCAGGTCCCGCTCAGCGTGCCCCGGAAGGAGACGACATTGACGAAGCTGATGGGCTGGCAGCTGGCAACCAAGGACGGGGCGACGAGTAAGCGCTGCAAGTGTGCTCTGGGCCGCGAGAAAGGCGGCACAGGTCCGAGGATGAGAAGGTACCGATACGGCTATCCTTGCTTCGTTTTCGCCTTTTTGGGCCTCCTGGGAGGCCCTCGTCGCCACTGCTGGACACGCTTCGAAATTCTGGTTAGGACGCACCCCAGGAGAGGTCCAGGGAGTAGCAGTATCGGTACCTGTTGGTTTCCCCAGCAGGGGGGATGGGTGGGTGGGAGGGGGGGGGGGGCGGGGCATTGTACTAGGGTGGCGTTGGGATGCGGATGGGGAGGGAGGCGTGGGGCGAGGGAAGTGGACGGGGAAACGCGGAGGCAGGCCGAGGGGAATGGGGGACGGGATGGGGGAGGGAGAGGTGAGGGGGAGAGGAAGAGGGGGATGGGGAAAGGATATGGGAAAGGCTGGGTGCTCCCGTTCCTCGAGCTGCGCGCGCCGCAAGATCGGGGGCTCGCGGCGGGAGGGCTGTCCCTCAGGTGGGGCTGGGGAGCGGGCCCAGCTGGGTGCTCCCGTTCCTCGAGCTGCGCGTGCTGCCAGATCGGGGGCTCGCGGCGGGAGGGCTGTTCCCCAAGTGGGGCTCGGGGGAGCGGGCCCAGCTGGATGCTCCCGTTCCTCGAACTGCGCGCGCTGCCAGATCGGGGGCTCGCGGCGGGAGGGCCGTCCCCCAGGTGGGGCTGGGGGAGCGGGCCCAGCTGGACGCTCCCGTTCAGCGCGTCTCCTTCTTCCGGGGGCCGCTCGGAGCGATTTTCCTTCCAGCCCCACCTTCGCCCTAACCCCACCCCTGGTCCCCCCCGATGTAAGAGCCGTCGCGCGTCATTGGAGGCGGCGCCCAAGCCGCGCGGGGGCCAGGCGCGCGCCGAGGGCAGCCCCCGCGGCGCCTCGGGCTGCGCGCGCCGGCGGCGGCGGCGGCGGCCCTAGAGGCGACGGCGCCGGCGGCGTCGACGGAGGCCGCGGCGGCGGCAGCGGCGGCGATAACGCCTGCGGCGGCGAGGTCCAGCGGCAGGCGCGGGAGCTCCCTGCTCGGGAACCGCAAGGTCGAGCTCGGGGAGGCGCGCGGCCGCGGGGTTACGCCCGCCTGGCGGTTGTCCGCGAGGGCGCGGCCCAGCCAGGAAGGCCGCGCCCGAAGCCCCAGAGTTCCACGAGGCAACGCACGAAGACAACGGTCGGCTGCGCAGGCCACCTGGACACGCCACGCTCGAATGCAGACTGGGAGCACGCTGTGCGGCCCCCAGGACAAGTGCAGGTGCACATGGATGCGAACACAATTCATGCATATCCAGCAGCTAATCCAAAGCAGCCCACGAGCACACTGAACAAGGACGCCCGCGCCGCCACCGTGCCCACTGCGCCGTGCCGAGCTCGAGGGTGGTCGTGGCACGCGGGGGGGAGCGGGGAAGCTGTGCGCGAACCCCCAGGAGCTGCCGCCACCAGGACGACAGGCACGAGGCATGCATCCCCTCCAGGATGAAGAAGTGGCAGAGGGTCCAGGAGCGACGTGGTGAGGACCACGACGGCTCCAACTACACCCCGTGAAGGCGAATCGCACCTGGTGGCTGATGTCCAAGGGCTGCGCGTGAACAGCACCGTAGCGAAAAGCCCGGCGATCGCCGATGTAGAGAACTTGTACGCTCGATACCAGTACCCAAGT